CGAATCAGCGTTGCGTGTCGGTTTGCTGACATGTGAATGCGCGGCTCGGGTTCGATTTCGTTAATTAATTGCACGTTTTTCGGTGGGAGGTGAGGAAGAGTGGAGAAAGGTCCATAATGGCGGGAGCGGAGCGTCATGTACCACGTTCACTGGATTCGCTCGCCAACTCTTTGGTTTCCATTCGATGTTGTTTACGAGAATCAATTTATAATAATTAAAGTATTTCCGGATAGTCCGCGATTCGTTATTCTATTAGCTCTCGACCTCAATTTTCACGTCTTTGATGAAAATTAATTATGTCAATGTGGAATTATGGATAAAATATTAATTTACTATACATATTGCCAAGCCAACAGAGTATGATTTTCAGGTCTTTGATTTAAAGTATTATCGAATAGGCAGCTCGGTTTACATTCGATTATTTTATTAACCATCGACCTCAATTTTCGGGTCTTTGGTGAAAATTAATGATATGAATGTGGAATCATAGATTCAATATTAATTTCCTATAAAAATTGTGGAGATAATATTAAGAAAGCCAACAATTAACATCGTCTCTGCGAATGTCAATACTTGTTTATCATTTATCATCTCACCGTCCACCAATCAATTTTTTTATCGATCAGGTACTGAAAATTTCCACACTAGATGTCAAAAGATTCTCGATAACAAGGACGATTGCATAAAAGAAAAATAAAAGAAAAACATGAAAAAATAAAAACGTAATATAAATTTATTCGTTTAACGTAAAAGAAACGATTATTATTTTCTGGCCCCCCTGATATCCACCCTCTCGAGCTTCCACGCGTTCCATCATTATTTCGTCAGGTCTCGACCTCAATTTCCAAGTCTCCTTTGAAAAGTTCGAACTCCGTTGCTACTTTCGTGATTGGACCCCGACGAAAAAGAATCGCGATACCTGACGTTCGCGGCGGTGTCTGATGAGGACAAACCGCACACGTGGCCCCGTAGCCAAAATTCTCTTGGCACGGTGATTTGGTACCCGCAGATAGGGGCGAAAGTACGAAACGCTGCATGACGTGCGGTGATGCAGTGGCTACGGATAAAGAGGAAACGATGCCTGCCAAGCGAAAGAGGGAAAGAGCGCGGCTTCCTCGGCACGGAATATCAGACCACGTACCGGGTGTCCTTTTAAACGAGTTTCATTCACCAGGAAAACGAACTCTCGCGCTCGGAGGATCTTTTCAAGAAATCCAACATAGGGGTGAATTTTCTAAGTATTCGACAAGGCGGAATAAAAACGATAGAAGATTACGAAAATGAAGGTGAGGGTTCATCGAATAGACGAAAATTTTTTTACATTAATTCTTGGAAAATCTACGTAAGAGGTTCGAGAGACCCGTTAATATTTCACATTACTTTAAAAATAATTCAATTTCAGGATAACTTTTCTCTATGGTAAAGGATATCGCAGAATTACTTGAAGTTTGGTACAATATACAGGGTGTACTTCCTAAATGGTTGGGAATAGAAAAAAATATTATGAGTGAAAGTTAAATGGTTTTGGATGGTGCACAACATGCAACTAATTTTATGCACTTTTGTGGATCGGTGCATCAGAAAAATGCAACTGCACTTTTTTTTTTTTAAAGGAAATCTATATCTCTGACGATACAGATCCATGCAGTTTTTTGTGCTCTAGAAACAAGTACTAACATAGTTGTGCCCTAAACTCGTTCGTTACGAAGTTATCGATTGTAAAAGTGATCCAAATTATCTCGTTACGAGAGGCAACCGTTCCGTTCCCCGATTGTCTTGAATAGCAACGAGGCAGATCCATCTGGAAATCGTTCTTTTTTCCGAAGAAGCTGGGTGTCGACGCATGGGCGGGGATGAGAAGACAGAGGCAATCGGAGGGGAGGACGGAAATGGGTTTCCCTTCTTGTCGAGCGTTTCTTCTGGACGTCCGTCTTCGAGATGCGAGGAAATCCGTTCTCGCACGACACCTCTCGAACTGGAAGCTTTCTGTAACGAACATGTAAACCACGCTTCACTTTTTCACCCTCCTTTCCTTTTTCCGTTTTCGGTGCTTTCGTCCGGGTAATTTCGTTTTACGTGGATCTGGTCAGGCGACTATTTTGTTGATTATTACAATCCGACAAAAGTACTCCGATCGAATTTTCAGGGCTTGGTCGCGGTTGGCAGGCCTTGTACAATTATATAATCTATTTATAAAAGTATTTTATTTCAAATATTTTTATTTTATACACAGGATAAAAATCGTGGACGAAACCTGATCCCTGTGTTTTCATTATAGCTTCGCGAAAATTTAACTATTTTCACCTCGAAAAAATGTTTTAATCGCACTAAAGGAATGAAAAATTTAGCCAGACCTAACCCGGACCAGTTTAGTACGTCTAGAGTTAAACAACCTCCTCCAACAGTTCCCAAGCATTCGCACCTGAATTTTCACTTACTGGAACGGCTACTCGAAGCCATTCAACCGGTGTGACTGTGAGCTAATTAAAATGTAATTTCCCAAGAAAAATGGAGTTCTCTAACGGCACTTGAACGTTCTCCTTCGGACGCTCGAATTCGAGGGAGAATTTACCGCCGCCTTGAACGTTCCGCGTAACGTATAAGTCGCGACACGGAGCCGTTCTCTCGACCTCACGTTACACTTCTCAATTCAACTCTCATTAACTCTCAACGACTCGGATCATCAGTTGCGGCGACGCCTCCTGCGCACGCTATCAGAGAGTTACGAGCGGTAACCGATCCCTGGAAGTTCTCTGCAAGCACCAAGTTTCGAGCAAACAGGAAAGCCACACCGGTTTTCTCGCATTGGCGCTATCTGAATCTCGCGGTGGTGATCATTTCAGCCGGTATTAAATTCCTTGGATCTGGTGAATCGTCCGTCCTCGAATTACGCAGATTTTTACTCGGGGCAATTACTTTATTTTTTAAACGGATGAAGCCTATATTTTATTCTATTTTATTATATTCTATTCGAGCCCACAAAGTCACTCTTTAAAAATCTCCTAGAATTCTTATCAATTTTAATACCTACTCATGATTTCTCTCACCAACACAACAAAGTAAACAACCTACAAATTTCATCATTTCTCATTGTTCCCTATTTTAGCCGACAAAGTCACCCTTAAAAGATCTTCCTCCGATTCTTCTCAACTTAGCCCACGCAGTTCTCACCTTGGCCCACAAATTTCTTCGTTGATCATTTTTCTACTTTAGCCCACAAAGTCACCCCTATAAAATCTTTCTCCAATTCTTCCCAATCTTAATACCTCCTCTCGATTCCTAAACCCCTCTCGGACACAACAAAGTAAACAACCCACAAAATTCATCATTCCCCATTTCGCCTCATTTCAGCCACACGAAGTGCCATCGAACCTCCCCTTCCTTCGAACATCCCTCTCCTCCACTACGCTATCTTCGACTCCGCCTCGCGGTTGCAGCAACCTAAAATATTAACCCATTCCTCCCCTGTCAGAAAAATTTCGCCCCGACCGATATAAATTATGAAAGCACAAGTTCGCTCCGGCGTGTAGCCGCGAGTGTACGTCCGCCCAGTGTACACGGAACGGCTCGGTTCCCGTGCCAGAAAAGCAAAGCCCTTAGCGTATTTGCGAAACGCGCCTCCGGCATACGAATGTAACCGCCGTCCCGGTTCTTCTTCGTTCCGGCGGGCCCACACAACCGCTCACGTAGCCGCGCACGTGTCCCATGTACACGCGGCTAGAGGCCGGCACGCGTGTGCGTGAAGAGAGACACGCAAACCGCCGCGGTTTATCCACAGTCAATAAAGGCTGGCTGTCAGCATGAATACCAAAAGCGCGGATCCGTGGCCATCCGGGCGAGGCCGGGGGCGGCGGTTCGGCCCCGTTGCGAGATTTACCGAGGCCCGTATATCATACGCACGTGCGTGCCTCACCGTTATCGTAAATACATTCCCGTGGATATGGAGTGCTCGTCCGCGCGTCCTTCTGCGCGAACGGCGCACGTACACGGCCACCGAGTGGATTTTCCCAGATACGACCGCACCGTCCAACGTGTCCTGATATCAAATTCCACGTGGAAGAGCGATGGGAATGGCGCAACGGACGCCGGGGGTGGGTCAAAGACGAAGAAACATGGTCGGGAACTCGAGGGATGAAGCGAGGGTTGAAATTTTAGGGAGGGATTTCTTTGTTTCGAGTGGTTAGAGGGGTTAGAGGGCGTTGCAATTTGAGTTGATTATTTTTGTATTCGGAGGTTTTGGATTCCGGTGCCGTTGGAATATGTGAAAGTATATGCCAAATTACCGGGGGGGGATTAAGTCAGCACTTTGCAGAATTCAAGACTGATTCAAAAATACAATCCCTCGAATTCAGATGAATTTATTCATCTCCACGAAAGTTGCTTCTGCAACCGAGTTTTTATTTTATTTCCCCTCCCCCGCCTAATTACGTTCGTCCATTCACTAATCACTAAACGTGCTCATACGTTCCATGATCTCCAAAATTGTCAGTTTGATCAGTAATTACAATCTATAGTTGAAGCTTGTAATCAGGAACCGATAGTTTCTGTAATCTTCCAGAGCCAATCATATATGATTATTCGTTACCAATTAATCGCGATGACCTCGCAATTATGAAATACATTTGGTCCGACTCTGATTTCCACGGGCTCGACGGATGTCCAGTTAGATATTCTCAGCTCTGACCGTTCGTTGGGTCCGACGTGTTCCGATATCGAATTCAACGGGATAGAGTAACGCTAACGCGAGGGGGGAGGATAGAGTCGAGAATATTCGCCGCGAGCGATACTTTTTGCGGTATCTGGCCGAGGATTATGGTCGCGGTTCGACGGCGAAGATGTTGGCCTCTGATCCGAACCAGGGAAAACTCTATCTTGACCTTTTTATATGGGTCGTGGCTTTTACGCGTGCTACACCTGGTGGGACACGTTCTTTATTTCCACCTCTCAATTTTTAGCGAAGGTCCTTTCTATTTTGTTATTAATATATTCGTGTTACTCACCATTTCTCTGCTCGATGAGGTTATCAGTAGTAATTCTTCCGAGGTGATAGTGGAGGTGGTTCTGATTCAACTTTGTCTCTTTTTTTCCTTCCTGTAACAAATGGAAGGAATCTGTTCAATTTCAATTATAATTTACTTGGAATTATTAGAAATTAAATTTATATCCAAAATAATTATAAAATTCGAAAAAATTCTCTCCGAATTCCAGACGAAAATTGATTCGAATCCTGGGAAAAATTGAAAGCAAAGTGCACACATTGGCTGCATAGTGCCGCGATTTAAACCGACTCTAATCTATAACTCGAACGGTACAGCGGAAAGTTTAACGATCATTTACATTCTCGGTAGTTCGAGACTCATTTGAATAATTATAATTTTATTCATATCTCGAGTCGAGCCATTTGGTAACATTAGGTGCCGCCAGAAGAAAGTTGTTAACGACTTGAATGGCCTCGTTGATTAGACTGCTCGTCCACCGAGCGCAGAAAGCTGCGAACGAACGTCTTTTCTCTTCGCTTCGAGCAAAGTAAAAGTAATCGGCGAGCCCGTGGCGCACGCGAACAACTAAATTTCAGGTCCGTGGATGGGGCACAGAATTTTCACGGAATCGAGTCTTTCCCGCGTACCGAAGAGCTGCTCGTCCCTTTGACTTCGACGGGAAAACTGTATCGAGTCTTTCTAGGACGATGCTTCGTTTCCGAGAGAAGTGACTTTGTCTATCGGTCAAGCATGCACTTCGCCGTAACCCGGCTTAGATTACTTCCCCTCGGGATCGATACCGTGCTTGCATATTAATGTTGAGGTAAGACCGCGTCGAACGTCGAAGATGTGAATACAAAGTGAGGTATTTACTGTCTGAAGGTTCTCGAGTTTTCAATAAAGATGCAAGCTGGATGATTTCAAAGCCGAAGACAGGATGAATTCAAAGCGGATTACCGGCCGAGGCATCTCGCGAGGTATTCGGATTCTGATGATGTTGTATCAACGCGAAACTTTCGCAAAGGATTGTTGGAAAAATTAACGAACTTTGAAGAAAATCAGGGGGGCGGGGGGAAATGGAATCAAATTTCGTGGATGGTAAAATAAAATTCCGGATAAATAGAATGTTTGTTGGGGACGAATATAAATTACAGATGGATAACATTGCGAATGGATGAAATTTCAAATGTTCTCGAATTTCGATTAATTTCAGCGTACGGTTTTTCAAGAGAATCTTCCTCGTGTGTTCACGATAGGAAACACAACGAGTCGTGGAAACAGCAATCATTCGTTTAGGTGGAATAAAACAGCCACGGTTCAAACGACGTCCACACAAACGCACTCAAATACGATCGAACGTGAGATTAATTATTAACATGTTCGTGTAATCGAACAAAGAGACGAGAAGATATCAAGAAAAAGGGTAACAAACAACTGCAAACGACGCAGACACTTCAAACACAACCAAACATGAAATTCAATTATCAACGTGTCCACGTAATCGACCAAAGAGTCAAGTACCAAAAGAGTACCAAAACCAGAGCTACCGAACACCTGCACACATCTGCAAACGACGTTGCCGGTTACGCTTTCTATCTCAACCCCGAAATGGACGCCTATCCTCGTGGATTTCTCGTTCGACGAGCGGTTCTATCGCAGAATCGAATCGTCTCGAGTCCAGAACCTCTGGCCCCGTCGGAAAAATACGTATGCTCGATCCCGCGTCCAGGCCGCCGTCCCTGGATCCTCGACAGATAAAGAAACCCGTTTCAATTTCCCTAATGCTGCGAGAAGCGAGTCGCTTTCGCATTACAAACGTTTTCCCTCGATTCGCGTTTCCACTCTGCTTTATTTGTTTCCCTGTCGTCTTTCGTTTTTTTTTCTCCGCGACGGTCGACTGTCTTCCCGCGGAGGCTTCCGTTTCACCGTTTTCCGCGGCTTTGCCGTCGTTTCTCTCTCTCTCTCGCTCTCTCTCTCACTCGGCGGCTTCCCTGACCGCACGGTCCGACGAAATCTACGAGCTAGCGAAAGAACCTTATTCGGATAATCCTTGGAGGATCACGGACAATGTGAGAACGGCTCGAAAAGAAGCGGAGGTCGCTCGCAGTCAATCCGATTAATTCTCCGACTACGAATTGGCGTATCTCCTTCAGGGGCTCTCAGTTCACTGTCGAGGATCGCCGCTGGAACATCTGCTTGGACGGATCGAGCTTTAACGTTTCACGATTTTGAGAAGCGTTCCAAAACGCTACCAAGCGAGCTTATTCACTCTTTAAAGGCGGTCACGCCCAGTCATCTCAGTCGAAATTCAAGAATTTTTTTTTAACGAAGCCTCGGACAACATTTCCGCTAAGACAAAAATGATTTCAAATCTCCCCCTGAATCACCCCTTTCAAAGACCTCGAACATTTCTGGGACACTCTGCATACACTCACCAAATTATACGAATTATTCAGAGAATACAAAAATTGAAAATCACACACTAATCACGTATACCGTAAACTCTGTACACATAAACGAATAATACAAACTGTACGATTCGTACAAAGTCTACATGTACAAATTGTGCGAATAATATCGGGTGAACAGATTTATCCAATTAAGCATGGAATGCTGCACGATTCATCCAAAGAATTCCCTTCAAAGAGTTACGCATTCTGTACGTGTTACACGAATTATGCAAATAATATAAATCGCGCGGTTGAACAGCCAGCCGAGAATTCCGCTCGGATTAATCGAGGCTCGCGACCGTCCTCTTCGACGAGCTTTCGCGTTATCGTCGAAGCTCTTCGCGGATTCGTCGCTGACGTCGGCCTGGCCGGCTTCGCGGATCGCCTCGTTCGTCGAAATTGATAAATTTCCGTCCGCGGTCGTAACGAACGGGTCCCGCTTTCGGCTAGTTAACCAGCAATAAAGCTCGGAGCTTTTCCAACCCCAGCGTTAATGAAGTGCGCGCGTGTAAACCGCGCCCGCGCCCTATTACGACTTACAAAACCGAGCGGTCGCGTCGGTAATTAAAACGCTTAATCAAAGCCGCTTTATGGCCGGTCACGCGTTCTTCGAAAAATAGAGTCGGATGTGTTATTGCACCGAGGCGTTTTATTTTTGTTCACCCTGTACTTTCGTTCCCTGGTGTCTCTAAAGCCTTGCTCGAGAGTTCAGACACAGGAAGATGAAGACAGTTAAGAGGAGACCACGATTGATTCAGTTCTTTTGGATATATACGATTGTTTGCATTTTTAAGACACTTGTAAATTTATCAAAAGTCGAGCCTCAAATTTTGTCTCATTTTCTCTCATTTTCTTATCGTCATCGACGCCTTCACTTCTTCCAATTACCTAGTTGCGCTAAAAAATAAAGAAGTAAATAAAAAAGAAAATAGAGTCTCCAATATCGAGAACAGCATCCCAAGTAACAAGTTCTGAAATTTGTACCGCATCGACCTCTATTCTTTCTTCTTCCTTTAATTTTCAAACCGACTCTGCACACTTTAGGATGGTAAAGACTCGGATCGGTCCGTTTCTCAGTGTCCAATAAAATCGCTTCGTAATGGCGCCGAGGAATCTTCCTCGACGAACCGATCGGAGAGCCTAATCTCGGCTGGCGAAGCGAACGCCGGTACGTACCATCGTGAGCTGCGGCCGAATCCGTTCCTCCTATCACGGCACACGCCATTACGCTCTTGACGTATCAAACGTTCCATTTAACCGGAATTTAAGCTCACGCGAAGCTTACGGCTATGTGTTTGCCGTTCGATCCTCTCCCCGAGGGGGTAGTACGGAAATACCCCCGAGTCCAAGGTGAAGATTTCCGGTCAAGCCAGCGAGCGTTAAGCTCGTGTCTTTCTTTGCCCTTCGAAGAAGTGCAAGTGTCATTTTAAAGAGGGGGAATTTTATTTACCATTTTACACGTGACCGTAATTTAATTTTTCTTAAAAGGGAAAGCTTCAGAGAGAAATGAAATAAATAGTTTAGAGAGGATACCTTGGACAGTTTAATAAAATAAAAATTCTCAACGTTTGCTACTTTCACAACACGAAATACGACATATATATATATATAGAGAGAGAAATACAGCTCGGTATTCGAGAGTAGTAACGGGCCCCTAACGATCAGGCGGAATGGTTCACGCCACCGAGACGAGTTAATGCAAGAAAGTCTCCGGGCTTCCTCTGGGTAAGCGCGCCACCCGCGGGATAATCCACGGATCAGCCCCTATCGAAGCGGAATCCCTCCTGAAGTATCGTCGCGTTCTTCGCGTGGAGGATGTTCGTTCCTTATAACAGCGAAACGGATTTCGTACGTCCTCTGCAGGAATATTAAGAATTTTATTGAAACAATGGAACAATAACAACAATGAAATATATGGGCGACAGAGCTTTTCGCTGAAGCATAATTAATATTCGAATAATTAATGATTTTGAGATCTGAATATTAATTGAAAACGAATCTGGAGAGAATTCGTAAATTTTGATGAAAGTACAAAAATAAGTAACGCGACGAATGTTATTAAATTAGGTTCAATAGTTTCTAATTCGTGACAAAATTTTAGTCCACATATAAGTGACGGAGCATTTCGCTAAGGAACTTGAATACTTCATTATTTCGAGAGCTAAATATTAATGAAAACAAATCTGGAGAGAATTAGGTTTTGTAGTTTTTAATTGTCTCGAGACAAATTTTTAGTCCCGCAGACCTTTCCCTGTGAATCAGTCTGACGATCGACGTGTTAACATCGCGATTGTTCGTGTACAATATTGCATAATTATTATTATTGCCTGATGATATGGGTATTGTTGTCTACTTGTCCGACTACGAACGAGCTTGTACTACTTCCCCGACAAGCCACCTGGTTAATTCGACGTGTCTGACCAGGTATGGACATCGTTCCACTCGTCTGGGCAGATACAAGTTTGGATCACTTGTCTGATCAGGGACAAGCTCGAGCTACTTGTCTGACACGCCACGTGGTTATCCGACGTGTCTGACCAGGTATGGACATCGTTCCACTTGCCTGATGGAATATTGGGTTAACTCGCTCATACGTCATTGAACATTCACGAAAGTGTCAATAATCCCCACAACTTTACAAATAATCACCGATTAATTACCA